TAAAATAATTTAGTTTATCTTGTACATTACATTTGGAAAATATATTTACAAAAAAATTTTCAAATTAAATACATTTTAAAAAAATAAAGAATATAAATTTTATTTAAATAAATTAGAACAAAATCAAAGATTATTTCATAAAAGAAAAATAAAAGGAACAAAATAAATTATTAATTTCGGAAAACATTATCTATTCAATTATTAAATTATATATAAAAAAGGTAATTATAAAAAAAATAACATAATTATTTAATCAAATTAATGTTGTAATCATTTGAAAAATATATTTACAAACAAAAAATTTCAAATTAAATACATTTTTAAAAAATTTAAAGAACAAATATATTATCTAAATAAATTTGAAAAAAATCAAAGATTATTTCATAAAAACAAAAATAAAAGGAACAAAATAAATTGTTAATTTTAGATAATATTCAATTATTAAATTATATAAATAAAAGACAATTATAAAAATTAAATAAATAAATAAATAACATAATTATTTAATCAAATAAAAAAATAAATTAATTATAAAAATTGATAAAAAAACAAATAAAAAATTAAATACATAACAGTCAGTTAGGCTGTTCACAGTCTATGGTCCGACTGTTAACAGTCGTCGTCTTCCCTAAGTCGAAATCGCTATTGTCGATAATGGAGAGGTCCAAAAATTACAAAAAATTCACATTTTTCGCCCCATCATGACCCACAATCTAACTAGTAGTTATTCATGCATGAATTTAAATCGAATAAATGTAAAAATAATGAATGAAAAAACTGGAACTTTTAATAAACTTCGAGCGCGAAAACTAACCGGAATAGTAGCGTGCAAGTCGTCGATTGAACGTTGATGGTTTCGACCGGTGGTTGATCGGTCGTTCTTCAGGCACATGTGGCGTCAATTTTTTTCGAAGGTCGGTCGATTTGATTTCACTTTTTAACAGTATGTATAGTGAAGGGGTAAAATTGCCTTTTAATGTAAAGTTATATTTTAACTTTTTTTTTATTCATTTAATGGGTCAAAGGCCAATGTTAAAATTTGTTACAGTTCAAAGGTCATTTCCACGTATTTCCTCTTGTGTTGTAGCATTGAGTTCCTTTAATTTATCCTTTTTGGGTTCTTTAAATATTTGCTTATTTCAAGTTAAGGTGATTCATGATCAATGTTACATAGACTTGTGAGGATCAACAAAGTTGATGAATAGAACTGTTCATCGTTTTATGAGCTCTCACATCATTACTATAAGAGAATCTTTTTTAATTAAAAAAATGAAAATTGGAAGACGAAATAGAATAAAGAGGAAAAAAAAAAAAAAAAAGATATTTGAAGAAGTGGGGAGTGGGCCATACTCCAATGTCGAATACTGGATTAGTGGGAGTTAATTAATTTTATAGTATCTAAGTAAGGTGTTATAATTATAATATATAATAATGTGTTGTTGGAAAGGCGCAAAAAAGTTGGCGCTTCTGCTGAATGCTAATTCGTCTTTATTCTTTTACAAATTTAAATTTTAAAATTTCTCTTTCGAACGGACCATGCCTCAAAATTAGCAAGTCTTGTAGTGAACCAAAGATTTTCTATTATTCATAATATTTCACTAGTATAGATCTTACAAAAAAATAATATTCGATCAGATTAAGATAAAAATTCAACTTTATTGAGAAAAATAAAATTTTAATAACTTTTTTAATCTCAGACAAACAAGAACCAATAATTGACAGTGACATAGGCCGTGGGATTTTCAACGTCGAAGAAGGGTAAAAAGGTAAATCCAGTACAAAAATGAAGAATTTGGTGCAATTAATTAGGGGTTCGACCACCCATTTTTCTGACTCGAAAACTCCAAAAGCCCAATTTACGAGGGACCATTCTGACATTTCTCTTTTTTAATTTCGTCCTTAATTTGATACTTTTTCTTTTCGTTACTCCATCTTCTTTCTTGTTGTGAATTATGGTAGTCTGTTGAATGGTTCAGAGTTTTGTACCATTACCTCTCACATTCACTACCCCAATCAATTACAAACAACAATGAATTCAATTTTTATTTTATTTTATTTTTTATTTTTTATTTTGGAAAACTCAGTCTTTCAATCTACTCAAAGATTTAAGACAATTAGTTATATTTTATTCACACCGTGTTATATTTTTAAACAGAAACATGTTTTGTTCTATGCAGAATTCGTGACTTGAAACCTTAACTCGATGGCAATTATATTCATTTGTGACCTCGTGTCCATTTATTCACGAGGTATTGAGACTTTTTTGCCCTTTTAAAAATGTATGTTTTGTATTGATTTTTCACCAAAAAAATTTAATATTTTTATCGTTATTTCACTATTTTATCTGTCATTTTTGACTTTTTGTCTCACAAGTAGAGTTCACTTTTCTCTCTAACAGTCAAAAAATCAATTCTCAAAATCACTATCGAACAAGTCCTAAATATGTGTCAATTGGCATATTTATGTTGGTCACGGCATGTAAATTATAATTCTTCAATTTGTAGCTAGACGAGTGTTATGCACGACGTGGTTCCTATGTATTCATATTGTTTTTGGCTTGTAGTGAGTTGGTTTTGTACTATCTGTGAATCTTTTGAGTGAAAATGGTAAAACACAAAGAATAAGGATAGGTTGAAAGGTAGCCAAAATTATGAATGAGAAGAAATATTATTTATTTTTTTGTAAATATAATAATTGAGTTTCTATATATGATTACAGGATTGAATCCTGACCATCCATCATCACCTTTGGACCTTCTGGTCATTAAATGATGACAAAAATGAAAGACGAGAAATTCAATGCAAAGAAATATTTGTATAATTTTGGTTTGTTTACTTTTAGACTTCTTCCCAACAATGAATCATGCACTATAACTACAATTTTTGTCATGGTTTTTCGGTAGGAGGGTCGACGGATCGGATCGGATCGGATAATATAATCGAAAATAAAATAATGAAAAGAAGTTATAATTTTGTTTATTATACTTTCTAATTTCGTTAAACACTATGTTTAGAATATTTAACATTGGTTCGATGCTTGTGAATGCTTTAAACACACGTCACTTGTTCTCATTAATATACATCCGTAACTTTATTTTTTTTTAATCACATTTTTTAAATAATTATCTTATACTTTAATAATCTCTACCAAACAAAAACTTTATATTTGACTCGACTCGAAAATAAACATACTTGTATTCGTAATCTTTTTGAGATCTAAAATCTCTATTTAAATCATTTGAAAAGATATCTACTGTTGCTAGGAGTAGCATTAGGAGCAAGTTTTTATGCACTCGAACTTCAGTTATCATATTGGTTTCATTAATATTTACTTATCTTTGAACAAAATAATTATCTCTTGACCAAAAGTCTAAGACCATCTAAGAATTTGTGCCAGCATTAATTTCTTCAAATGATCCATAATTTAACGAATAATGCAATTTATCATCACATTGATGACTCGTTATCCTTTATATCAATACATGACACTAAATAATTGATCTAATTAATAGTAGGATTATCTAAACACGACGATTGATCACCATAACAACTAGCATTATTCTAATACCACAAACTTTTGTTTGAGTCCCATTCTTTTCATAAAAATAAATTTTTGAATAATATATTGATGAGAAATGTGTAATTAAAAAATAATAAAAAACTTTAGATTTGTATATAATATTATTTTATTGAAAAACGTGTAATTGAAATGATGTTAAAATACTGTTTAAAATGTATTTTTTTTCAAGAATGAGGCTCAAACAGGGACATACTGGAAATTTTCATCATTGGTCCCCGATCTATTGTTCAGATGGTCATTAGTCCTTAACTTTAGAAACGAACTATTTAGCCTTCAAACTCCCATTATAACCGAACAATTAGTTCCAAATTTATCGGGGGTAAATCTCATAGAAAGACACTTCACCTCCAAATACTTGAATTGGGCTTGAGGAAGTAAAATATGATGTGTTGATCTCAACATCGCATCAATCGCGTCAAAAAGATTGCTTTGGAGATCTTGTGCTGTGCGCCATCTACAGCTTCGCCTCTGCTCAAGAGCCTCTCATACTCGCAGAGGGTCAATAATATGTAACAGGGTCAATAGACACATGGGTTCTATCATCTGCATAAGCCCTACTTTTGTAAAATATAATATTTTAAGAACCAGCCTAGGCATTCACTAAGAAAATATAAAGAGTCAAGGATTAATATAAAGGGTTGAATGGCAATTAACAAGTTAAATAATATAAAAAAATTGAGGAAGATTGAGCCTATTTCGGAGTTCTTAAGGTTCTAAATGTTTTATTTTTCATGTATAATCTACCAAATTTAGTGATTGTTTTCTATTTTTCCGGTCAAACTAGCTAGTTGAGATAGTTATAGTCACAAATGACCAAGAGCCTATTGGGAAGTGATTTTTTTTTTTTCAAAAAAATTGATTTTTTGATCGTTATTTCACCATTTCAGTCGTCATATTTGACTTCTTCTCTAACAGGTTAACCACACTTTTCTCTTAACGGTCAAAAAATCAATTCTCAAAATCACTCTCAAACAGGCTCTAAGCCCATGTTTGACAATCATTTAGTTGGGTAAAATGGAGTTTTGAATAGAGATTTTTAAAAAATGTGTGATTTAAAAATAGCAAAAAATTTAAAATTTATGTATAGAATATTTTAATGAGAAAAATAAGTGGTTGAAAATTAGTATATAAAAAATAGTTTAAAAATAATGGTTGTCAAATATGTGCTAAATGTATAATTATAACAGTTTTGGAAGCAATAAATCAGGTACCAATGTTGTAATTTCTCAGTATACAGAACAATGATTATGGAGGATGAAACGAGCAAAAGATTCTGATCTGATGGTACAACAAAATGATTTACTGTTTCATCATCAAGATTCAACAGCACACTCATACATTTATTTTAACTTTTTCTATTACTAGTAAAATCACAACTGCCAGTGATTCCCGTGACTTTAATCTGCACAAAACAATAATAAAATCACCCCCACCTCCACCTCCACCTCCACCCACGTCCACCTCTACCTCCACGCCTACAATAAAACAGGTACCCCTCACACAGAGTGTCTAAGGCACAAGGTGGTGGAACAGAAAAAGAAAAATGCAAAGTTCAGGTTCATTCTTGAGGCAGTTTAGTGGAAAAGAAGGGTGGAAATCTAGATCAAGGAGGTGGGATGGTGGTGGAAACAACCGGAGCTGCGACGGTGGTGGGTGGAAGGAAAGTCTGAAACAAATGGAGGGACTGAACAATATGTATAGAAATGAGAATGGAATGCTTAATGGAATGAAGAAAAGAGTAATGGTGGTGGTGGATCAGTCTTCACATTCAAAACATGCAATGATGTGGGCACTTACTCATGTTACTAATAAGGGTGATATTCTCACTCTTCTTCACATTGTCCCTTCTTCTTGCAAAGGCTCCACCGCCGCCGACGCCGGAGGTTGTGATTGTGGTAACTCTCCTTACCTTGCCACCACACTTGGCTCACTTTGTAAGGCTTGTAAGCCTGAGGTTAGTTTTAAAACTTCTAGCATTGAGTGTTTTGATGGATTTTTGTGGATAGATTTGGTGCCATTATTAGCATATCAAACTCGAAAATTAGTTGATATTCTTGTCTCTTGATCTCATTGGACCGTGCGGAACCTTAATCATATTATCAACTTCATCTCGCAGATTGTAGTGTGGATCCACCTAAACATATACGTATTAGGTCGTCATAATATATCGTTTTCTTGTCATCAATTTTTGCTTATAATTGGAATTATTACTTAAATAATATAAACTTTGTCATTTTTCTTTCACTTTAAAGTTCACAACTTTGTTTTGTTTCAATTATTCAGTCAAAAAAGAAAGATTTTTTCTCCTTTAATCAGAAGTTTGGATTTCTTGCAGACCCTTTTAATTTCCTTGTCATCTCTCTGCGATCTGTGGACCTGCAATTTTTTCTCATCTAAATTAATTTTTTTTTCTTTTTTTGTTGTAAGGTTGAAGTAGAAGCATTAATGATCCAAGGTCCAAAGTTGGGCACCGTCATAAGCCAGGTGAAGAAGCTTGAGGTGTCTGTGCTAGTCCTAGGTCAGAAGAAACCCTCCCCATTACTCAATTGGTGAGTTCTTTCTCGTCACTGAATCTTATTCTCAATAAATTTTATCTCGACTTTGGTAGATCTTTCTTGTGGGTTTTGCAATAAATTTGAGATTTGGTACATCAATCGTTGAAGGTAGTATTTTGTTGATTTACAGAATGAACTTCTAGTGGGTCTGCAATAAATTATTTTTTGGTTTTACAATAAATTTGAGGTCGACTATATAAATCTATTTTCTAGTTCATATTTTGTTGATTTCTGTAAAAATTTATTTTTGTGGGTTATGCAATTTTGGCAGCCTCTGCCTGAAGAGCAGCACAGAGGAATTTGTAGAACAGTGCATAAATGTGTTGGATTGCTTGACAATTGGAGTAAGGAAGCAGAGCAAAGGAGTTAGTGGGTACCTTATCAGCACCAGATGGCATAAGAATTTCTGGCTTTTGGCTTAAATTACTGCTTAATTTAGATAAGTATTATATTGGGAAATAATTACTTAATTGTAGAAAATGTGTGTTCACTTGCTCCGTCTAATTCCAAAGAACATTAGTATGTAATTCTACCCTAACTCCTAGCTAGATTCAAAATCGCACTTAAAATAAACTATACCCTCTTCCATGTCTTCATACTATGCACTTTCTTTATGGTTTTTGTTCTGTTCTTTCTTGTCTGTGTGGGTGAAGTGGTGTTGACTAGACTGGCCGAGTAGTTGTACCACTCAGAATAACCTGTTTATGACCACGTCCAGTCCCGAGGTGGGTTAGGCTTTTTCCTTGAATCGCTAGATCCATTTGACACCACTATAAATTCATTAAATTGTACCACTCAGAATGTTTATGACACCTCAATAGCTAGTTGAAACTTTTCCACACACTTGTAAGTTCACTACCAACTCTTTCCACAATCGATGCAGGACAATTTCAACAATCTCTCCCTCACATATCGGGTTTTGTGGGAGACTAACCCATCTCCTCCTCATACATCGAGCCAAACCCATCTCCTCCTCACGCACCGGACCTTGGGTGAGACCAAACCTGTCTTCTCTTAAAATAAACCCGCATCTCGTGTGATTGTTGGGCCTGAAACTTGTTAACAACTTGGGTTTTGATATCAGTGTTTGGTGATATTTGACCTTTTTAACCTCAGTTTAGAGGTGAAGTTTTCCTTCACATTTATAAACTGACCATTAACCCTTATTCACAATTGATGTAGGACAATTCAATGCACGTTAATCAATAGATAGGTTATAAATTCAGAATTTTCAAGATTTTCTTGTATAACCTAATCACTTAACTTGTAATTACACAGCATAGAAGAAATCTTATCCCGTTTGTTCAGTAAAGTCGAAGAGTTTGGATCCTGATAGGATGATAATACCTATAAACAAAATTTAACCATGTAGTAGAGACTCTGCAAGGGTGGTCTTGTGTCGACGTTGCAGGCAACCGACTAAAGCAGCACAAAATCATATGTATTAAAACTAAGCTGTGTCAAAGAAGTGAGGAGAATCCCTCCAACAATAGGAATCAAAGAAGCCCAAATTCGCCAGTCGAGGTGCTTTCTCCAGAGTCCAGACTAGCCACTGCAAGATATTACAGTTAAAAATGCAATAGGATCATAAAACAATTTTCCAGAATTAAGCACAGAACGATAGGCAGTTTATGAACTCAAGTTAGATAATATTACATTCAATCAAACCACTTGTGTTCTTGCTTATTTAATGATTATCTTGTCAAAACTCACCAGTTATCCAAAACTATTTGGATACAAAATAAAAATGACATGGGAAAAATCCTCCTCGAACAATCTTCAGTTTCAACAGCAAGTTTCATCCCTTAAATTACCACGTATTCCTCGACTGCTGAGCAGCTCAAGTGTATACGTGAGACCGATAAAGGATACTTGAAATCCAATGTCTGTTAAAACGCTTTTGTCAGCTAAGATGAACATTAATTAGAGTCCTTACACAAATATATTGCTGGAACCTCAGTCGATTTCGAAGTTATTTTAATAAAAAAAGTAATCATTTAAGTTCGACTTTATGGAGTCATCCTTGATAAATCAAGAATTGCATTATTGATTGTTCATGAGTAACAGCCACGTATACTGAGTTAAACGAACAAGACCTCA